AAATTATTAGTTCAAATCAAATTTCAAAGGTGTTAAACAATTTTCATTGAAATTCTAACGTTTTAACTCTTGTGGAATTCAGGTGTATGCCTAGAAATTCTTCGAGGACTGGAGAACTGCTTGTAGGACTTTCAAACCCCGAGAAAACATTCAGGGCATTGAACCGTGCCAACAGAAGGATCCAACAAACACAACAACCACACCAGCTTGAATTTGACATGGGTGACGTAGAGAACGTCAACGGAAACATCAGGGATGAGCCAGCTGACCCAAACATCAGAGTGGTGGCATCTCTTGTGCCAGAAGCTGCACTTAATGATTGGTCTCAACCCACAGCTGACAACTGCCATAGTTGTGCCCGCAATTCAAGTGGAGACATTCCAGATCACCAACAACATGCTGCATCTGCTGCAGAATAAGGGATTGTTCTCCGGGCTACACATTGAAGACCCTCAGCAACATTTGAAAAATTTTCTGTCAATTTGTGTGACTCAAAGGCAGCCAAATGTGACCCCAAAAGCTATCAAGCTATTACTGTTCCCGTTCTCTGTGATTGGGAAAGCTCAGACTTGGCTGAATTCGCTCCCAATAAATTCCATTGTCACCTGGGAGGAATTAGTAAAGCAGTTCCTAAATAAGTTCTACCCACCCAACATGACTGCAATGCAGATTGATGAAATATTGCAGTACAAGCAACAGCCGACTGAGACCTTGGAAGAAACTTGGGAAAGATTTAAAGGGATGCTGTTGAAGTGTCCTCACCATGACATTCCAGACCAGATGCTTGGCCAGAGATTCTACATGGGGTTAGCTGACAATCTAAAGGCCAATGTGGATTCTTAAGCTGGATGTGCATTTTTGAGTAAGACATTCACCGAGTGCAAAGTCCTTCTTGACAAGATATCCCAGAATTCGGGGTGGATGACTAGAGGTACAACACTGTCACCCATAGTGCATTCAATTCCTCTTGACCCAAATAATTTGCATGCAGAGAACATGACCACACTCATGACTCAGATGAGTATTTTGACAAAGAAGATAGATGAGATGGGTACCAAACAGGTGCATATTGTTGACACGACAAATGAAGGACTGTGTACACCCTGTGTTAATCAGTCTTATATGTGTTCATGGAGTGGAGAAGGTGAAAATCAAGGGGCAAGGGAAGATATGAATTATGTTAACAACTTTGGGGGTTAGAGACAAGGAGGACAACAGTGGAGACCGGGACCAAATCAGCAATAGACCTAACATGCCTCAGCCTGGGGGCATGCAAGTTCAAGGCCAAATGGTGCCATACCACTAGAGACAACATGGCTACCCACAACAGAACCAACAACAGTTGACATATCAACCACCTCCTCAGCAACAAGATAACAACATGGTAGAGATTAGGGGGATGCTCCAGCAACTCATTGGGACAAATGGTAAGATGTAAGAAAAGTTGGCAGTACATGATTCAACTATAAAGAACATTGAAACTCAGTTGGGGCAGTTGTTTATGGCTTTTAAAAACCGCCCCCAAGGAACATTGCCAGCGAACACAAATATTAACCCCAAGGAGCCAAACCCAAATCAGCTGATGGCAGTAAGTCTCCGGAATGGGAGAGATTTAGACAAAGAGCAGGAGGTTGCACAAGCCAGCAAAGAGACTACGCCATTCACTCCAATTCCTCTAGAGGTAGATGAACCATCAAATCTGACTAAAGTGGTGGTTGAACAGGGTCAAGATGAAAAGGGTAACGCTAAGGTAAATGAACAAGCTGCAGAGCAGGTGGTGCCTCTTATGCCACAGAACCCCAACAGAGAGAAGACAACAAACAGTGCACAAAGGGTGATACCAGCACCATTCCCTCAGAGATTGGTAAAACAAAAGAAGGAAGATCAATACAAGAAATTCATAGAGATGCTGCGTCAAATTCAGTTGAATATTCCTTTGATGGATGCCTTGATGGAGATGCCAGGTTATGCGAAGATGATGAAAGACCTAATGTCACAGAAGTTTGATTTTCAGGACCTATCCACAGTGACTCTGACGCAGACCTGTAGCGTAGTAGTGACAAAACCGATGACTCAAAAGATGTTAGACCCAGGTAGCTTCACTATTCCATGCACGATTGGAGTTATGCCTTTGCAAAGGCATTATGTGATTTGGGAGCCAACATAAATTTGATGCCTCTGGCTGTATACACCAAACTGGGCATTGGCAGAGCTAGATTGACTTCGATGCTGCTGCAGCTGGCTGACCGCACGGTAAAAAGGCCTACTGGGATTCTTGATGATGTGTTGGTGCAAGTGGGGAAGTTTGTGTTCCCTGCAAACTTTGTTATTCTAGACTGTCTGGTAGATGAGGAGATACCTATCATTTTAGGTAGGCCATTTTTGGCCACCGGGAGAGCACTGATCGATTGTGAGACTGGGGAATTAAAAATGAGACTGAACGATGAAGAAGTCANTCAAAATTGCTAACCCATTATGCAAACTCTTTGAAAAGGATCACCCCTTTATGTTTTCTAATGATTGCAGGTTGGCATTTGAGGAGATGAAGAAGAGATTGGTGACTGCACCCATCATTGTTGCACCCAACTGGGAGCAACTATTTGAGCTCATGTGCGACGCAAGTGACTATGCCATAGGAGCAGTCTTGGGGCAGCGAAAGGGTAAACTGATGCACCTGATTTATTATGCAAGCAGAACGTTAAGCGATGCACAACTCAATTACACTGCGACAGAAAATAAGATGTTGGCTGTTGTTTTTGCATTCGACAAATTCAGGTCATACTTGATTGGCTCTAAAGTTATTCTTTACACTGACCATGTAGCAATTAGGTACCTGATATAAAAGAAGTCAAAGCCACGCATGATTCGCTAGGTTCTTCTGTTACAAGAATTCGATCTGGAAATACGTGACCGAAAAGGGACAGAGAACCATGTAGCTGACCACCTCTCAAGGTTGGAAGGAGCTGAAAAGAAGGTAAAGGTTGAGGATATAACAGAGACATTCCCGGATGAACAATTATTGTCAATGACAATGGAGGAGGCACCTTGGTTTGCTGATATTGCTAATTATTTAGCAAGTGGTATTGTACCTTATGAACTCTCCTCAATTCAAAAGAAAAAGTTCTTTCGTGATTGCCGATATTATTATTGGGATGAACCTCTATTGTTTAAAATATGTGTAGATAACATTATCCGTCGGTGTATCCCCGAGAAAGATCAACATTCTGTTTTGCAAGCTTGCCATGCTTCACCATATGGTGGACACTTTGGAGGAATTCAGATAACAGCTAAGGTGTTATAGTCAGGCTTGTACTGGCCTACTTTGTTCAAGGATCCCATGCTTGGGTTAAAAGTTGCGATGATTGCCAAAGGACTGGCAACATATCTCGTAGACACGAGATGCCAATGACCACAATTCAAAAGGTGGAGATTTTTGACATGTGGGGGATTGACTTCATGGGGCCATTCGTCAGCTCGTATAGTAACAAGTAAATATTGGTAGCAATTGACTATGTCTCCAAGTGGGTCAAAGCGGTGGCTCTCCCGACCAATGACGCTAAAGGGGTACTAGGTTTTCTGAAGAAGAACATTTTCAAACGTTTTGGTACCCCAAGAGCTATACTCAGTGATGGCGGAACCCATTTCTGCAATAGAGCATTCGCATGGCTATTGGAAAAATATGGAGTTCGTCATAAAGTAACCACCCCGTACCATCCACAATCGAACGGGCAAGTTGAAGTGTCCCACAGGGAGATTAAAAGTGTCCTCACAAAAATAGTGAATGCAACAAGGACTGACTGGGCAAAGAAATTGGATGATGCATTGTGGGTGTACCCCACAACCTTCAAAACCCTAATTGGTATGTCACCGTACAAGTTGGTGTTTGGAAAGGCATGCCACCTCCCAGTTGAGCTAGAGCATAAAGCACTTTGGGCATTGCGGCAGTTAAACTTAGACATGGAGACAACAGGTACTAACAGAATCACTGGGTTACATGAGCTAGAGGAATTCAGGTTCCAGGCCTTTGAGAGTGCTAGATTATACAAAGAAAGGATGAAATTAATGCATGATAAGCACATCTTGGATCGAAACTTCAAACCCGGAGATCTAGTGTTGTTATATAACTCGAGATTGAGATTGTTCCCAGGTAAGTTAAAGTCCCGATGGTCAGGACCCTTCAGAGTAGTGCAATTATTCTTAAGTGGAGCTGTAGAGATTGAATCAGTAGATAAGACAAACAAGTTCACAGTAAATGGGCAAAGGTTGAAACATTACCTTGGAATGACTGAAGAAAAAAGGGATAGAGTGGTAATCACTTTGGAAGAGCCCCAGTACGCGGATGAGGAATGATGATCAAATGCTTGCGTAGTGCCGCGACGTTAAATCAAGCGCTGCATGGGAGGCAACCCACGAGTGTGTTGTTAGTGTGTTCATGTAACTTCATATATAAAAAAAGAAAAAGAAAAACAGCGCTAGCACCGCGAACCGCGGTGGAAGGCAAACATGCTGCCTCAGATTTTTCACCTCACCGCGACCGCGGTAAATCGCAGTGAAGCGTGAACTTTCTGCCTCGAATTTTTAAACCCACCGCGATCGCGGTGGACAGTGGTCGACCGCGGTGGGTCCTAGGTAATTTTATTTTATTTTTTATTTTTTTCGTTTTTCTTATTTCTTTTCCTCCTCTTTTAATTTTACAACCCAAACTCCCCCCTCTAAAACCCAACACACCCGATCCCCTCCCCCATATTTCCAATTTCTCTCTCTCTTTAAATCCTAACCCCTCAAATACTCTCTTCTTCTTCCCTCATACTAACATCCCCCACCTCCATTCCTCTCCCCATTCTTCAACTACGGTATGATCCTCACCTCTTCTCTCTCTTTTCTTTAGTATTGTGTTGTAGTTTATGTAATTTTATATTTTGTTGGGATGTAATTGTCGGTATACTCTTTTTCTTCTTGTTTTTGCTTTTAAAATTAGTTTTTGAGTTTGATTGGTGAAGGGGCTGTGCATTGCATGTTTGAACAATGTTATTGGTGGGTGATTGAATGAAGTAAGTGTGGGGTATGTTGGTGTGGTAGTATACTTGATTGGGGAGGAGCTTTGATGTACCCATGAGGGCTATATGTGTCTGGGAGTGCCCTGCTCACAAGGTGTATGGGAAATTGCCCCAATGGAGATATAAGGAGCTATTGTGACATGGTTATGGTGAAGTCTGAGTAACCATCCATAGTCACATATTTTGCGCACTCACTAATAGGCGTTTCGTTGTATGACAGGTACAATGAGTTCTTCCAGGAAGCGACGAAACATCGGACCCTCCACTAGTGGACCGGGAGGCTTCTCATGAGCTAGGATCCAAGCCAGTGCACCTCAGTTTGATAACACTCGGTTTGTATCCAGAGCAGCGGAGGATAGGTACAACCAGAAAGCATCTAAGAAGTTACAACCTGAGGTGCACATTGATCGAACGACTTTGGAGGTGGAATGCCCCAATATGTTTAATGAACTGAGGCGGTGTCAGCTGGACATCTTCTTCGAGGTACTGGAAGAGGCTAATATTCAACTAGTAAGGGAGTTCTATGCGAACTTGCCAGAACATGAGAATGGGGTTGTGATGGTGCGCAATACCCCGGTAAATGCATCCCTTGACACCATCCGCAGGGTATACAGGCTGCCTGTGTTTCAGGGTGAATTTGATCCTTATCGTACTTTTAGTGGAACACGGGCCTTGTGGGGCACTCTTCTTGATACTATCTGTGTGCCAGACGGAGAACACCTATGGATCAAGCACAGGATTACTCTTTACTCCCACTATTTGAATTGGGAGGCTAAGTGTTGGCTCACCATTGTCAACAGTCGATTGTTGCCATCTAGCAACACGACAGATGTTAATCTACCACGGGCGTCCACAATCCACTATTTCATGTCCCACAGTGATTTTGATGTGGCCCGGCTCATCCATGAAGAGATGTTCATTAGATCACCTGAGCTAACCAAGGGCCACTACTTCCCTTCGCTGATCACCCGACTGTGCCGTATTGCTCGAGTCCCTGAAGACCCTCAGGTTGATGGGAGATTGCCACTAAAAGCCCCATTCCGAGCGAGAAAAAATAGAATTGGATGAGAGCCGGTGGTGAATGTTGATGACTCTGATGATGACTCAACTGATGATGCTGAGGTAGCTGAGGTTCCCCCTCCTCTGAGAGCTGATGTGGCAGGCCCATCACAGCCACGCCAGAGCACCCGTATGACAGCTTTGGAGCAGGATATGGCTGGGTTGCGTACCTCAGTCACTAATTTGGGTGTCTGTGTTGATGCGGTGGCTGAGAGGCAAGTGAAATCGGAAAAGAAATTCTTGGGCTGGTTGAGAGCGCTGGGACGTGCGTGCAACGTGAACCCAAACACTGTCTCCGATTAGAAGTGAGCCTTCAGGGAAGTTCCTTAACCTCACTGTTCTTTAAATTGTAAGCCATGGGGACATGTCTTCATTTTAAGTGTGGGGTGGGGATACTTCATTGTATGTTTGTAATTGTAATAATTGACTATTTAATTTTGCTTGTTTTGTCTTGCCTTGATTGTTTTGATGTAGAGTAATAGTTCATTAGGAAAGCTAAAATAGTAAGTGACTTGTCCCGACGACGAATCTCTTTCGGTGGGGTTCTTGAGGGACTAAGTTGGGGAAACAAAAATTGGAATATGGAGACTCTTCCTGATGACAGATCCTTTAGACAATTTTCTTGAGGGAAGTAGTCTAGAGAAAAGACCAAAAAGATTTTTTATTTTATTTTTAGGTAGTGTAGTAACTCCCCCTTGGTTTTTTTGGGCCACGGTTCTTTTCCAAGGGTTTAGCTTGAACCGGGTTTAGGTAATTTTTATTTTTGTTCTTTTTAGTTTTAGGTTAGGATTAATGAGCTACGAGCGAAAATCGATTTTTTATACCTGAACACAATAGACACTAGAGTCTAACGCCTAGCTTCATTGGTTAAATCCTGTTAGAGTGCCTTAATTGTACGTTTGTATCTAACTTGAACACTTAAAAGAGAATGTCTTGATAAACCAATCCGGAGTGAGTCACGTGCCATGTGTGTGTGAGTTTTCCTGTGTTCCATGTTTCATATTTGATGCCTAGAACTTGCCCTGTGTGTTTGCAAAGCGAAATAGTAATTTCTTTCAGTTTTAGAAGTGATATAGGCATTTCTTTGTTGAGCCAAATATATAAAGTAAACCCACCTGAATGCAATACATCTTAGTTAACCCCGTTGAGCCTATAAGCCTATTTCTTTGGCAACCATATTGCGAACCTTACCCAATTGTTTGAATAGCTTGCCGTTTGAACCCTTTTACCTCCTAATAAGCACTTGAATGGTAATGGAAATATGCAAAAGTAAAAGTGTGGGGTGGTGGTTTGGTTTTTGTGTGGAACCATTGAGATAGAGAAAATGTGTGGAATTTGAAGCATAAAAGAAAAAGCACCATGAAAAAAAAAACAATTATAATGGTTGATAAGTGGTGGCTTGTACAAATTGCACTTAATGGATGGGGATGTTTTAAAGAAATGAGGTGGAGTGTTTGGTTGGCACAACTATGATATTTAAGTTTAATGTTATTGTATTAAAAGTGCTTAGGGAGGTTAGTCACTATATCTAAATATATCCTACCCGTCCCTTAGCTTACATTACAACCAAGTAAAGTCCTATTGATCTTAGATTGAATGGGCTCAATTAGTAAAGTATTACATTACGGGCAAGCCTATGGTGCATCTTTGTGGCATGTGAACGTTCTTTCTGAGAGTGAGCGAATTTTGTCTATCTTAGTTCCTACTTATTCTAATTATCGTTACATGTGGAACTACTCTCTTGTGTGATGTGAGGGCATGTGATCCATAAAGGAAAGGTAAGTCTTGACTCTTGTATAGAGTAGTTTGAGTAAGTACAAATGTTGCATTGTACAAAAGGTTTGACTCTTGAGGTAAAGGTTGTTCACTACTAGGTGCAAATTTTTGTAAAATGTTCATGGTGTTAGTCATTAAAGGAAAAGCTTAGGGAAGAAATTTTGATGGAGTGTGGTGGATTGCTCGAGGACTAGAAATGATTTAAGTGTGGGGGTGTTGATAGTAGGCGATATAGTTGATATTTACACCTTAATATGATCATACTTTGTTGTTGTTTTATAGATAAATTTCCAACACAATGCTCTAAATAGTGTTCTCTTGTTTAGCAGGGAATATTATATGAGAGGAAGCAACATGGAGTGTTTTGGAGGCGATAATGTGAAGAAAAACAC